CATCCTCGTTGTGTGCCCAAAAGTGATTCGTGTAAGTTCCCAGTTTCTTGGAGTCCCCTTCATCCACCCAAAAACACATATGCAATCAAGTCATTGCCAGTTTTATATGAGTAGACCTTTTGGTTTGTGGTTGCTTTTTGTAGTTTCCCTATGTTACGGGTGGCCTAGACATCTCCGAGAAATCCAAGGAGAACCCGCTTCGCGAAGTGTCTCCAATCTAAGCATTGAAAGCGTTTGTCCTGGGTGACATTTACGATACTTGGTTCGACACCCAAGCACACGGTTGGTTGTTTGCGGTATTTTGACAGGTCTATTGTCACCAGTAACTGGAAGATCTTGTGTTACTCCAGATTCGATCTCCTGATATATATATTACGAATTGGTGGTCTTGGTGGTGGGCTACGTCCTATATGTTGCACAACTTCTGACGTTTCAGACTACTACTACTTTCAAACCTTTGGCTATTATCGATCGATTTTGCGACTAAAACAGCCGGCAAAAGAAAGCATCTTGTCCTTTCTGAATACCTATTGACTGTGTGAGCAGTTAGACATACGAAGCATTGATAAGAGAAACTTACAACAACCTAAGTTTTGATTATCTGCTGGTTCTGCTAATGCAGTTTACTCAAAAAGCTCAAATCATTTTCTACGCTACCATATTGTATTGAAGCTTTAGCGAGTTATATAAAGGCTTTCAACCAAACAGAGAACACTGTCACAGTACTGACGAAGAACGGGAAAAGGTGGGACAATAAACATGCCAAAAAAATGTGAATTAACTACAAACAACTACATTAGAAAGTTCAGAACTGACACTCTGCTTATGCGTCAGTATCTGGGCAAAATAGGGTAGCAAACAGTTTCTGTAGACAGATATACAAACTGGGCTTTATTTGTGATTAGAACGGGTGAGGTGGATTGGTGGGATTTGAATGCACACACCAGGTCAATGTGTAAAGGATGGCTGGAATCAGATAGACTATTGTTTGTAAACTTCAAGCACGCATCAATATATGAGCATCTCAGGTTTTATCAGTCAGAACAGCTAAAGTAACTTGAGAAACATATACCAACAGCAGAAGGAGTGCAGTCCACGACTAGCAAGAAATGCGTTTTAATCACGCAATGTTAGTTAGTTAGTTAGTTAGTTGGTTAGTTAGTTAGTTAGTTAGTTAGTTAGTTAGTTTGTTAGTTAGTTAGTCAGTTAGACTGTTAGTTAGCTGGTAAGTTAGTTAGTTAGTTAGTCTGTCAGTTAGTCTGTTCGTTCGTTAGTTAGTTAGTTAGTTGGTCAGCTAGTTAGTAAGTTAGTTAGATGGTTAGTTAGTTAGTTAATTATTTATTTATTTGGTTAGTTAGTGAGTAATTCAGGTTGTCAGTTAGTGAGTGAGTTAGTTAATTAGCTAGTTACCTAGTCAGTTAAATAGTTAGTTAGTTAGTTAGTTAGTTAGTTAGTCAGTTACTTAGTTAATTAGTCTTTCAGTTAGTCTGGTAGTTAGTTAGTTAGTTAGTTAGTCAGTCAGTCAGTCAGTTAGACTGTTGATATGTTGGTAAGTTAGTTAGTTGGTTAGTTAGTTAGTTAGTCTCAGCAGGCCTTGAACGTCGCATCTTACAGTCTTAAGCACCCTGATGGCAGGAATTCAAAACAGCAGACCACCAATAGGATATGGAGATGAAACAAAATGGCATTACCTCATGTGAATGTCCGTGGCCGTGTTTCTTCTTGTCCCCATCATGCGAGTGACCATGTTTGTTCTGTAAACAGAAAAGATCACAATGTGATTTCATTTCAAAGATATGATTTCAAGGTAATCTGTCAAAATATTTTTTATGTGATTAAACTTTTCTGGATCAAGTATTCCAAGTGCAAACGGTCCATTTGAATTTCTTGGTTAGTTTTGGACACGTGTTCAATGATGTAATACATATTTGACTCTGTTTATCCTATCTTGACGGTTACCACTGCTGAAAATTATTCCGTCCGATATTCGGGCAACACTGCAGTATTTGAAGTAGATACTGAAGCACAGAATCGCTCTGGCAATCGTGTGCTAGGATTATCCGTCACGGAGCCACAAGGAGAAGGCCACATAAGTGGCAGTTCGTTTATTAAGAGAAATCAATAGGAAATCAATTATATGTAAATATGAATATCATTGGTCAAACAAGTATCACCCAATCGCCGTCCGTTTTCTTCGAGTCACACGGCTTCTGTTTGAACTGAATGGCTGTTGATTGATAGATATTATTAGCCCATGACCGGATGTCCATAAACTGAAACACGTCGGTTTATGGCTGACGTCATCTAGGAGGGTTTTGACTCATTACAAACACATTACTAAACATGTTAAAGTAGCACCTAATTACAATTTTACCGCGAATCACAAGTGTCACTGAGAAATTAAATCATCATTGCTTTCATTAACACAGCAATCATGTGACCATTTTTTATGAGACAGAACCCGTTTGTTGGTGACTGTTACGCACCCTATCTCAAATGATGCTATGATGACTGAATGGGAGTACAGAAAATCCCTAGATCACAGCTACGGTGACTTATACCGCTTGAAGAGGGTCGATCGATCGATCGGTCCATCAGTCAATGGACCATCACCTTGATCGTAGTTCAATGCTGGCAACACCAAGCCACAACCGAGACAGCTACCTAGACCTCCTAGAACGCTACAGTACGATCAAAATCGGTGAATTGATCGTGCAATCAATAACCCTAACCAGTCAGTCCCCTTCCATCCCATAGCATTTTACACCGGTGCACATTTTCATGTACACACGACCGATCGGTTTCAGGTGTCGATCGGTCTAATGGTTCAGCCGCAACATGGGACCTGGTGCTTGCTCAGCTAACCCAAGCGAGAAACCACACCTTGTTTAGGAGCCGTAGGTCTCAGGCAAACCCAGTGAACTTCGACTGTGCAGCAGGAGTTCCATCAGCACACGGATGGGCTGGACGTGACAACAAGAACATTTCAAAACGTACGAGTACAAGCCGGTAATCGGACAGTCTCTCGTGTAGGGGTAAGTGATTCCAAGTGCAACAGATCGCGGAATTTGATCCAATCAGATCACAGAAAGGATCAGAGAGAATTTACTAATTGGAAATGATGAATGAGAGAGACAAGACAATGTGAACCGATGAAGCAATCACACTGTAAATCATTCCGTTGAATTTCCAGGGCCTTCGTTCCTTAACTGTTTAGTTCATTAATCAACAAGTAGTCGATATTTGATTGTCCTCTCATTTTTTAGTTCATCCACAAATCGATTAACTATTATCACTCACTCGGTACGATCCATCTGTGAAATATGGGAAACTAATCTGGTGGCTTGCATCCCTAGTGAACTGAAATTGCCCCGATTCACTGGCTTCTCATAATGAACAACTTGATTTTGACAATCAGTCTGTCGTACTACTGAAATGAACGTCAGTATGATGCAAACTAGAGGCCGAAAGAAACCGAAACAAGCCTTTGCTCTCGCTGAGTACCCCACTGACTCAGTGAGGAACAGAAAGCAGTTCGGGTGAATTGGTGCGCGCCATTCTTGCCAGGTGGACGTTCCAATGCAGTTGGTAAGATCATCGGTGTTGATCACACCATGGTGTTCAGTTTCGCCCCGTACACTAAGCAACAGTCGGCTCAGTGGACGCCGGCTGGTGGAGACCTCCTTGGAAATTCCGACATGAGTTTAGTGTGGCAAAGCAGATGGTGGCTACTGTGCCGGTAGTAGAGCAAAGCACAATCACCGGAGGCTGGTACGCCACCCACTGTCTGCCGAAAGCGCTAGAAGCTGTTACCGGGGCTGGAGCACAAGGGACTTTGCTGTGCCATGAAAACGCATCTGCACACACGTCCCACGTTGTCGGCGCTCTTCTGGCTATGGAATGCATTCAGGAGTTTTTGGTTACTCACCCTATAGTTCACACCTGGCTCCATGAGACTTCGGCATGGTAAGGCTGTTTCGTCAAATGATTTGAGCATATGGAGACAATCGAGACAATGTACTGTTTATTTTTGTGTAACATCAATTTTTTTCATGTGTGTCCGAAAACGTTTGCTCAAACCTTGCAGAGGTTCATGAATAGTTTACAAATCCTGGACCATATCAGGAAACATCACCCACCCCAGACATGCCCATCTCAGTCATGTTGTTAACCGTCATGTTTCAGCTGCATGATCAGTGCTTCTGTTCTCGTCTACTCTTGTCATTTCTGTAAACTATAGATGGTATCCGAAACGGGCGCTATTGGCAATTAAATATGCTTTTCGTATCCATCACAAATAGATAAAAATGGTCATCTTCGAGCATATTGTATAAACATTCCACTACAGGAAACTGTCTGGCCGGGGTAAACACACAATAACCGAACTGTCGGAAAACGGTTCACTGTCAAACATCAATCATGGATGTTGTGTACCTATTCACTTTATCTATGATTAAATCGATAAATATGCTTCCTGTCCATCACCAGAAATAGGGTTGCAAAACACTGTTTTTTCTTAGCATGGATTTGCTCAGAGACGCTAAAAACAAATCGCTTTACGCAATGGATCTCCAGACTCATTTTTCTGTGTCTCTTTGCATGTACTGCATATTGCAGTTAAAGTGTTTTGTTTTATTAGTCAGTAAGATAACAAGCTTGAAGATTGTTCATCCTAAAGTGGGTAACAGGACACTACAATGCAAAGAAATCAATAAATGGGAGAGGGTAGGGGTCAACTGTCGAGGCAAAGCTTTGTTCTGATAGATCGGGTCTGACAGTATGACTGGCTAGATCCTGAGCAAATTTCGGTAACTTCGAGTGTTATGTTTTGTTTTGTTTTGTAGATGACCTAAAATGCTTGGGTTGGTGTGACATAAGCTGTTTGTTCGAATCAGTGTTGTGTTATCGAAGATCTTTAAGTCTTTTCTGATCATTCGATGATGTAACAGTTTGGAACTTGTTTTGCATCACTTTCCTAAACCACACTGAGATGAGTTCGGCCATTCGGTGACGTAACTGCTTTTCTGTCCTGCCTATGTGCAGATGGCTGAGCATCCGCACTGGAATTGGTGAATGCAATTTTTGATTTGGCGGACTGGGGATCTATGTTTCTTTCACCGATGTTAATATCCACGTGGAAGTGAAGACAATGACCGTGTTGTCAACTGCGTAGTAGACGTCCTGGACGGTAGAGTTCAACCGCTTGCTGATGTCATTGTCTTTGTATACTATCTTCAAAAAACAAAACGTTTCATTTAGGGACAGTTATGTTTTATTTTCTACTTTCACTGTTGCTTCACCATGTTTGGCGATAAATGCGACTGGCTATCCATTTCCGTGTAGCACAGAGGACTCTTTAAACGATGAAAATGACCTTTACGATCCGGGTTAAGCTACCGTTCTCACTTTAGCAGTAAGCATACACGGTCAACCGAAATCAAACAAGCAAATTGGTGTGGTAACATATGTGATCCTTTTTTTCCCTTTCTTTTATTACTTTTTCTTGTTACTTACTTACTTTGTTTTATCGAATAAACAAAGATAGAATTTTCTGGTAGGGGGAAGTGGCCGATCAAACGGAGCTACCAAACAACACAGAGAATAGGGAGGGGGGGGAGTCAGGTGGTAGTGTTGATGGGATTGGAACACACGGCCTCGTCCGTGGGTGACAATTTGGTGAAACGTACCACCGGGTCATCCGCGTCATACCGAATCACAGTCGGACTTGGTGTACAATCATCGGTAAACAACATCTTTGAAAAATTTGAACGCTTCTCACATAGGTAGTTGGATAGCTAGATGGATAGGTTTGGAGGAAATGTTCCAGTTTGTGGTTACTCTATTCGAACTGGTTTCACAATCCCCGCCAATTTGTATGCAAAGCTGTTCGCCTCATCCCCGGGCAACAATACCAATTCTCTTGGATGAATTCTACTGCCTCTAGTTGTTGATGTCGGACTACAAAACGGGTTTGGTTTTACATAACAAAAGATCACCTGCACGAACTGGTAAGCACACGGGATAGAACATATTTATTCCAAATTGGAGGATTTGGATTAAAAGCACAGTTTAAATTTATGAATATGAGCTACCAACGCCGGGGCGAAACTCAAATCTGATCCCGATAGATAGTACGCTTGACTGGCGAAACTGAGTAGTACAATGGTGCTGGTGTTAGGCACTACTCACCCTTTATGAGTAGTCCGCATGCACCAAGACGTGGAATGGGCCTTAATAAATTGATGGATTTATTTGTACAACGATGAAAGATACGCATGCCGTTCCAATAATTATCCAATGTGTGGTGTTCATAACCTGATTATTTGTACAGTTTCAAACTGTCAGTTTCAAAGAAATCGGTTTCAATGCCGTACCGGACTGCGTCGAATGTTTGTAGCGTGTCTTGCTATGCCAAATTTTTTGCACAACAGAACAAACAAGGTAGCTCTGATCGATGAATTGGCCCAACTCATATCCCCACCCCCTCCCCAGAAACTCACTTCAGCCTCATGGTCTTTCTTGTCCTGGTCCTCGGGATCCACAACCACGACCACTTTTGGAACAGCCAAAGTGACAGCGGAATTCGAGTTCTGACTGTCTTTTTTTGGTTCACCGGTCACTAATTTCCTTGTGGCATCATCAGGGTGTAACAATCGTCCGGTTGTCTCTGAGCGTCCCTCATCTTCCTCATTTTCCGCTTCAGATTGTTTGTCCTCCTGTTCTGCATCCTCTTCCGCGTACCGATAGAGGATATCGATATTACGCATTGCTGTTCGATACCGGTGGAACAGATGAGAACAGTTAATTCACATTTAACTCACAGCTACTTGTGAGTAGTATTAGTAGTATTGTTGGATAATTGAGACTAATTTGAACTGACTCTCACTCGGACTTCACCTTCAGTCACAATGATCACCTTATCCGGCCAACCACAAATGCAGAAACACTAGACTAGAGTTTCACTCTTATTAGAGCTCATCAGTAGTGCATATCCAACAACCCCTTTGTACGGGAATTGAACTCCCTACCCATCGCGTGGAAGGCGTGCGAGTCTGTGCTACCACGGTGTCAACTCAAACCCCATTCCCCAGTAACTTTCATGAATTTCGCTTCTCATCACCGACACATTAGATAGCCGACAAATTTTATTTTGATATGTTTCGAACGCTGGATGAGTTTTTCGCACAGAGAGACATGTTTGGCCAACTACTCGTGTTTCTCATAAGCCCCACACCGCTCCACTTCCGGTTTGTGGGACTCTCACTGCACCTCTCGCTGTCCACATGCGCTTATGACAATCTATCTGTCTATCCTCGTTCCCAATTTCCACAATTTCCCTTTTCGCAGTGAAAAGCGGGAGTTGTGACATGCGAGCGAGATTAGGTCATTTGGTCTCGCTCTTGACTAGCAATTAGCTATATGTTCATTTAAATTGTTTTATCGGGAAAAGACAGTTGCAACGAACAGACCGGAAGAAGAAACACCTCCACATCCATCATGTGGAAAAAAATATATGGTCACTAGCGTCGAAACAAACAAATCCTTTAGATTACTCTCCAAATGATAATCGATTATCTTGTCTTAAAAAAAGATCAATCAATAAAACAATGTTGGATACAATGTGAAATCATTGCGCATAGCTCTGAATGCGAATGCTCGTGTTAGTATGTGTTCTCCGAAATCATCAGTTCTACTGGTGATATCGCCCAGCCTGACGACTCGCAACACGCCTGCGAACAAATCTTCCAGCTCTCGGAGAACACAACAACAACATCTCCAGTTAAACACATTGCTTTGCCGGTTTACAAAGTCACGATTAAAGTACTTGACAGATTTCACTGTGAAATACATCTTGCCAGATTGATGAGAGCAACCCGACTGTTGTTGAGGGCTTTAAATTATTGAATGAAATTTCGTCTTATCCGGTGCAAACAACGCGTGTACCGAAGCATTGTACAACTGTTTCAATTTCGATGGGGCCTCATCAGTCCCCGTGCGAATTTGATCAAACAAATAAAGTATCGAACTAGGGAACGGTTTGCATACAACCCTCTAGACCGGACCAAGGGAGCTATTCAGACTGTTCTTCAGTTTTAGTCTATACACAGTATAGCACAACCCGTCTTGAGAAGCTTAATGCGAGTATCACAGCTCGTGTATCTCGGAACTAGCCACCTCTCCCAGAGAGGGGCGACATGTCTGGTGCTTCACTTCAGTTTAAAGTTTTAGCTCAGGCCTCATTCGATCTGCGCAGGACGAAATTCACCAATAAAATCAGATCCACTATTCGCAAGTAAGCAGTGTTTTTTTTTGGACAACGTACACATTGACTTGTGTGCATGCAAATCCCACCCGTCCACCCGTTCTAAGTACAAACTTATCCCGTCTGACATATCCGCATATAGAAACTCTTTGGTACCATACCTGGCCCCGAATACTGACCGACAAGTAAAGTGTTCGTTCTGAACTTTCTAATGCATTTTGACTGAGCGGGGCCTTTGAATTTGGCCGTACCTTGTTATCGTGGAATATTATTTTCGTCACGTTACAGTGGAGGAACGCGTTGACATCACTTTTGAATCAACTCTCTATATTCTCAAGGTCAAATGTTGTCCTACAACGCTATATTTTTGAAATCCTTGCAGTTTATCGCGCAGAAACATCAGTTTCTGATTTTTGCCCATTCTGTCAGCAATCGATTCAAACGACTACAACAATCTGTTCAAGGACACCATAAAAGACACCGTGCTGGCTGGCGTGTGGCGCTTAGGCGTCGTTCTGTTGATAATTTGACCGTTCCATCTATTATCTCAAGTAACGTTCGTTCGCTCACGGGAACACTGGATGATATCAAGAGCATGACATACCAGAAGGAATGCAAGAATGTAGGGGCGATTCTACTCCAGAAAAGCCTGTTACATCCTGACATTGAGGACAACGTCGTGCATCTTGATGGATTTGACATATTCCGACTCGATCGTAATGTGAGCTTCCCTCATAGAGGTGGTGGAGTGGTCACTTTCATTAACAGAAAATAGTGTAAAAACGCTCGTAAATGTTTTCAATTTAATACTCCCAAGATAAATTGTATTTATGTTTATTGTAAGCCCCGATTTGTTAGTCACTTTCATCATATTACATTAGCGAACAATTGCATCGCTCCCGACACGCCTGCCCATAATATTCGTCTGTTTGTCGACTCCTCTTCACAACTTTTAACCGGTCTAGACCAGTCTTTATGCATTGTTGCTGGTGATTTCAATCGTTTTAATA